TGGTCACTGAAATCAAACAGATGCAGAACAAGAATAAGCAAAACCGATTACGGATCTTGGAAAGACGATATCAGATTACGTATGTTCGACAACAAGACTTTCCAAATTCATTATAACTGTCTGCTTCTTTGAAGATAATACAGAACATCTACTCCAAGAAGCAAAAGTGTACTAATGCTTTGAGTTTTTGGATGATCAAATTGAAAAGACACAAGGACTCTACCTATATGAGAAACTATTCGCCTTAACATACACTTCATAAGATCCGTAGAATCAAAATCCCACTCAATGAATACAAATTGAGAAACTCGTGGCTTTAAACGTACACTTGATAAGATCCGTAAAATCAAATTTCACTCAGTGAACTCCAAATTAAGAATAAATAAGGATTCTAATCTATCTGAGAAACTAGTGGCCTAACATACACTTCATAAGAACCGTAAAATCAAAACCCCACACAATGAATTTGTAAGTTTTCAAGCAAACAAAACATAAAGCAGAACACCTATGGTTCAAGTAACTCTGATCAACCAATGAGTATAAAATATCAAATGATTTTACCTGAAATCTTGCTCTTCGTAAGTCAAAGACCGAGCAGAAACTAGAGAGCGGATCAAACACGTTCTGTCGATTTCGAAAACAGAACTCCCGCGTTTGGTTTCAAAAACCTGGCAATCAAACTGCAGAACAGAGCTGATTCCAGGCTTTTTGATACATACTTTAGCTAGAGCATCCCTAGGAAACGCTACAACATGTTCTTCAGCTACTGGTTCCTGTCGTAGTAAAGCCGAAACCACAACCTCCTCGCCTGAATCAAATTGTCTCCTCAGAACAATATCTCGGCTTATCGGAGAATCCCAATCCAATTTGAAATCTCCTAAAGAACCAGTCTCAACGTCCTGTTCAGACACAAAGCAACATACTTTACAGAGATATATCGCAAAGTCTAGGGTTTTATGCGATCCAAACACCAAATTCATCATTTTTTTGAAGGCCCAGAAACAAAAAATTGTAAATTGACAGAGTCTAATGGAAATCACCATTGATTAAGAACTCAATTGAGTGTTTTTTTTCACTGAGACACGAACAAGGAAGACGAAGAGGGAAGACAATGATTACCTGGAAACGAGGGTGTGAGATTTCGTGACGAATTTCAGATTGGATGATCTTAAGCAAAGCGTTATCTTCAACAAATTTACGGCCTTGTTTCAGAAGTGCATTCATCTTCCTCATCTCTCTCGAGTTAAAGATTCTTCTTCTTCTTCCCTCGAAATAGCACACACAGACCAAAATCGTTCGAAACCGGTCCGGTTCGGTTTTGTACCTTTTTTGTTGTCGGTTTTGTATATATACGCTTTAACGATTTTTTTTTTGCGTGGCCCTTGCATAACGGAAGTAAAGTTCAGTGTTTTTTTTATTTTACCAATATAATAATTTGAAAAATAGGTAATTAAAAACTAAAAACAGTTATAGGACTAATCCGGATTAAAAAACAGTTCATTCAAAAGAATAATCTTCAACCATCTATTAGTCTTTTGAATTATGGTATGAAATTGCATTTCAATTTTAGATATGTTTCAGATATAACATGATGCTGGACCCGGAGAAGTGGCCGCGGTTTAAGTTAGAGCTGGATGAGCTGACGACACTACGAGCGTTTTTTCCAAACTTTACTCTAGAGTATTGTTCAAGAGAGAAAAATGAACGGGCAGATCTACTGGCCCGGCATGCCCGTCAACGAAACGTTGTTTTTTCGCATATTAGCACTATAATCCTTTATTGGTTTCCGGATACTTCTGAATTTGGTTAGCATAGGATTTAAGTGCGTTCGTGTCAAAAAAAAAAAAAAAACATGATTTTTTAGTTACTTTATATCAAGAATTATATATAACCTCAAAAATGTTCGTCTTTTCAGTATATGCATCACGCAAACAATAAAACTAATTTACAAATTAATGTGGATCGTCGCGCATACCACCACCTTATATTTTTGTAAAGTATAGAGTCACAAACCCACCGTATATATTAAGGTCGAGTCGGTATGCCAAAAATATAGGTGGACTAGCCAGACTACCCTGATTGTATTAGAGATGGACGTGGACCACATCACTGTTTTTATACTTGTTATTTTGTTAACCAGTTGATTTATTTTAATGCATTTTCTGTTTGATTTTACTATATAACAAGTATAATTTGGTAGGATTAGGCTACCATTTTTTTCGACCATTAAAATCCAAATCTAACATAATCCTATCATGAATGCGTTTGACCCGACCGGATATCCGGTGACTCATTATATATTACACTAGAATATGACTAGCGCGATGCGCGAGTTTTGGTTTTAAAAATTTATTAGATTTAGAGATAAACAATTTGATTACCTAATAAATTATTATTTATGTTTGACAAAATCAACCAATTCTCTGTAAATACAAAATAGTAATTGACTTCAAATATAATTAGTTGTTTCTCAAATCTGAATTGTATGAATATGAAAACAACCATTTTGATTTGGATGGTTACTATTTGAAAATAAATATATTTATTTAAAACTTTGTTAGATGTAATCTAAATAACCAAATATTTTTTTATAATAAAATA